AATACTGAACTCCGAGGAAAATTCAAAACGGAAAGTCCCTAATCAAATGGCAAAATCAAATGATAAAACACATTAAACGAATGGACAACAACTGTCATATTCCTGACTTGGTACAGGCATTTTCAAATGTAGAAAATGGTGGATTGAACCTAGTTTTCTAGATCTAAACCTCTCACTTGTATGACAGTCGCATCAAATTTCATTATATTTACAACGATGCGTGAACAAAACAGACATAATAGGTAACATTGTCAAAATATGGGTACAGCAGTCATCACTGTGTCACAATCTCAAAACAAACAAACATTTAACAAAGAAGCATAAATAGCATCTATCAAATTTAACAACCACATTCATTGCTTACTTATATATGTATTATAAATCAACCCATAAAGGATTGAAATATTTAAAGTCCTGTGACTGCATTCACATCTACTCTTAGTGTAGAGTCGCATGTTTGACGCCAGAAAATGTAAACGTCACACAGGAAGAAATATAACATAAGTCGTTCAAAGTATTTTCAAAATTATTATTTCACATGGGGATAGGTGGTATACAGGGTTGAAAAATCAAAAGTTTTTGTTAGAACTAATTTCAGAAAAAGACCGAGATTTAAAATTATCCAGAAGTTCTTTAGAATTTTTAAGAATCAACATATGGTTAATACCACTACGCGAGTAAAATAATTTTGTCGTTCAAAGTATTTTCAAAATTATAATAGAACAATAACAAAATGATGGGATCTTCAAAAGTACAGAGCCACGTAATATGTACCAAAGAAACACATAAAGTCACATAACACACATAATTATATATTTGTGAATGGTAATAACTCCAGCCTTATGAACAGTTGAAAAGATAGTTTCTGCCTAAACTTTAAAATAATGTTCAAGATAGGAAACTGTACAAATAAACTCCAATTGGCAACAACACACGAATTAAATGTTTAAGTTCTTTGTAGTTTGCATTTTTATTAAGTTAAATAATGACCCATAGTAGGTAAATATTTTATGCCTTGGAGTACATTTCATTGAGACTTGGTACCGTCCAGGTTGTTTCTTCAAAAGTAGTACCTGTCGTTCTGAAAGAAAATCACTTCATATAGGTATATATATACCCGTAATGAATAAAGAATTATTCTATGATTAGTCAACATATATGATTGGGTATGACATAAGTCTATTTTTTGTTCTTGCCTGGCCACAATTTTGAAGGACTAAATGCTTGATTTGGCAAACCAAATTAAAACATGCAAGTCTTATTAGAGATCCTTACTAGATGTTAGTGATTAATCAAGGAAGACACAACAACAAATGCTTAGAACACTACTTTTTCTTAATTTCAGTAGTCTCTGCAAATAGCCAAAAGGGAGATAAGTTTTGCTCAAATTGTATGCATTCAAATCTATCTATTGATACACAGTACATAGATGTTATATCATTTAAAATAACCACTGTTTTGTGAAATATTTTCCTTGTAAATTCAGAAAAAAAAAATCATCAGAGGTCCAAGAATACCATTGAATATTTAAGTGTACAAAACACGCATTTCATCTATACATTACTCGTCAGTGGCCCCAAAAGAGAAATAGTTTAATGATTTTATTTGTTCATGTTGTTATATTTGAGCAAAGTTAGAAGATTCCTATAATTCAAAGTATCAATGTTTATATAAAAAATGAGAATTCCATGTATAGATGCAACAGTACTATTTGCTTTGTATGAAAATTCAATGTTAGCTTACATATTGTAAAAATATAGGATGCAGTTTTATAGATACACAGGTTACATATTTATACATAACATGTGTATTTATGTTTACTTGTATGTCGATATGCTAAGCTCACATCGTCCATCAAACTTCATATTAAATTTAAACTATAAGATTTAAACTGTCTCCAAAAAATGCACAAACATATCAATTGTATGTTATTTGGGGTCTTCACAGTGGATCTGACAGACAGGGAATATGTATAGATTACTATATCATGTACATGGCATATTCCGTATCAGACCCTTTATCGGCCCTGGATCATGTTATCAGCTCAATAGCCAAAAGTCTCGAGAAATAATATCATAAACGAGGGCCGATGAAGGGTATGATTTGAAAAATGACATGTTATGATCTTTTTATCATATACTTCAGCAGAAGAAATACAGATGAGAACTATTTTTTTAAAGAATTGAAAAATGCATTGATTGTTTCATTTGTTTTTTTCATTTTTCATAATATAATTCTCTGTTTCCTAATATTTGTTTTGCATCCTACTTTTTTATGTTTTTCACTGAAAACGTACCAGTGAGGTGTTTTTTTCCGAAATTTGCCGAGTTACTTCGAAATGCCTTGCGATAACGTTACAGAGGCAATTAATAAGATCAGATTATTACATGGCATTTTTCATATCTGATGTATTATCAGCCCAAGGTTCAATATCATCACAAGAGCCGAAGACTCGAGGGCTGATATTGACAAAGGGCTGATAATACATCTAATATAAAAAATGACATGTTATGATCTTTTTATCGTATGCTTCAACAATGAATACAAATAACAGTTTAATATATTGATCGTTATAAGTGGCTCTCAAGTAGAAGTTCAAAAAGTGAAAAGTTTACAGACGACGGACGCAAAATGTAATACATCCGATATGAAATCTTTCTATCAATTACCTCAACAGAAAGGAAAACAACAGTATATTATATTTTTATATTGAAGATAAAAAACAATCAACAAAATATAATGAAAAATGACATGTAATAATCTTTTTATCATATACTTCAACAGAAAAAAACCGACAAGTACTATTTTTAAAACTTTGAAAAAAGCATTTATTGTATATTTGTTTTGCATTGAACATAATATTTTCCTGTTTCCTTACACTTGTTTTATAACCTACTTTGTTATGTTTTTCACTGAAAACGTACCATTGAGGTGTATGTTCCGGAATTTGGCGAGTAACGCCAGAATGCCATGCGATAACGTTACGGAAAGGCATGCGATAATAGCCAGAAGCAGTTGATAAAACTTTTATATCAGCCCGTTAAGCACCATTTCGGAAAATTAGAAATTCACATAAATTTAATGCTATCATCATACTGAAAAAAATATAAGTGTTTTACTCTAATTATATGATAAATTGTTATATCAGCCCGTTAAGCACCATTTCGGAAAATTAGAAATTCACGTAAATTTAATGCTATCATCATACTGAAAAAAATATAAGAGTGTTACTCTAATTATATGATAAATTGATATATCAGTCCGCTAAGCACCATTTTGGAATATATGGAATTCACATGAATTTAATGTTACATGTATTATCATACTGAAAAATAATAAGTTACTAGTATTTACTCTTAAGTATATCATAAGAACCTGTATCCCCTGTATATTCCGAATAACAAATATATTCCATAATATTGTTTTTATTTTACACGTGAAGAGTTGAATGTATAAAAATATGTATTTTGCTAGAAACATGTGGTGACTTAACACTGTTACAATGTCATTTACCTTAATAAATTATTCTCTCAATCGATTTATGACTTTTGAACAGCGGTATACTACTGTTGCCTTTAGTTCTCTTATTTCAAATTAGAGGCAAATGATACCAAAGGGATATTCAAACACATGAGTCTGAAAAAAATGACAACGACATGGCAAATAAAAAAATGAAAAAGACCAAAACACAAACAACAATGAACAACAGTACACAAAACACAACATAGAAAACTAAAGACTGAACAACACCAACCCAACCAAAAAACCGGGGGTGATCTCACGTGCTCCAAGAGCATATGCATATCCTGCTCTACATGTGACACCCGTCGTGCTGCAATAGTTTTCTTGATAAAACCGATACAGTAAAACCTTTTATACTGTAATTATAAAATATTCAACTTTTATTACTTTGACATCTGTATCATCATTATCTTATTTGAGCTATTTTAAAAAAATAATTTCACTTCTAATACATTTTGTTAACTGTTACAAATGTAATACTTTACTCTACGGTCTTTCATGCAATGCACTATTCTTTTTTTGTTGAAAGTAACATTTAAATTGTAAATGGTGCAATCATGAAAGACTTGCTTAACTCTTCTCAAAATCCAACTCATCTTTTTGGTAGTTGATATTACATTATGCCCTGATAAGTCTATTTTTTCATCATAAAGCATGTAATGTCTAATTGAAGCGACATAGCAACGTCATATAAAACCAAAACCCATATCAATGTCCATACCACGGGGATATTTGTGCATATACCTTGTCAAAGGTTACCAACGAAATTGGAGAATTATCCGAGATTTTTTCACTCCTTCAAAATAATTTGAAAGAAACTAATTTAACGACTTGCAGATGTTACTTTTTTCACTTACACAATTGTATTCTGAATTTGAATTCATCTTATTCTATATAATCTGTAAACAAAATGTATTTTGCAAATGACCTACTAATATTCGAATGGGATCTAGTACTATGAATTCGTAAATCGAATGTCAAAGTATATGGACACAATAACAAAAAGTAAAAAATTCACAACGTTTGCTTGATTATACTGTCTTAGTTACATACATACTATAGTCTTTCCCAACCAACTGTACAATGGGCCTCAAATTTAAACAAATTTATATTCTCCTTACAGTACACGAAAGGATTGTATTCCACTGCATATAAATAGTGATAGCAAATCAACATTTGATTGAGTGAGATTATCTCACGTGACGTATAACAAAACTTACTATTCCCCACTGAATATCATATTCCCCTCTGACAGATGGGACTTCCCTGTGCGACGTTATGTGCGGTTGATGAATATACCGTTTTGAACGTGTTTTTTTTTTAAAATAAATATAGTATATTTAACATGTTAAAAGTTTTGTGTTTAAAAAAAATATTTCAGATCTCAAAAAAGAAAGAATAAATAATTAGCTTTTGATCGTTACTGATTATCATTGTTTATGTCGTGTTTTGTTATAAAAACAAACATAAGAGCAAAATTATGTAAATTAATATTTAATGTTCAGGAAGTAAAACAGGTATGGGCAGTGGAATAAAATATTCATTTCTCTTGGCCTTGGGAGATATGGCCAAGAATTCTCTAGCGTTTTTGAAAAATATAGATAATCCATAATGTTATTCAGACTCTGATGTGTTAGTTAATATGATTTTGCTTGTTTACTACACTTCACAATTCTCAATATAAGCTTTGGTGACTGCATCTGGCACTATTTATTCGATTTCTGATACCTGAAAAAAAATTAATACCGTTGCAAGAAATTTAGTTGCATTATAACGCCAAAACTGGTGTCTTTTCAAACAGTATAATAGCCTTCATCTGACTAAGCTTGCAAGGGTTATTTTTAAAGTGTCCGAGGGCTATGATTCCAATTATTCATGCATTTTTGGTATTATATTATTCAAAATTCGCTGAATATCATTCATGTGGTTCATATACTACATATATGCTACTCTGTTGTTTAATCTTGAAATTCCTTAAAGCATGATTAGTAAAACTGTTTACTATTGGGTTCTATTCATGTTAAACAAAATGCATTCAAATGTTCTATCTTGTATCGAAAGACATCATATGGCATAGTCTTTGGAGTTATCACAGTAGTTTTATAAAATCCGGATAATAATATTATCCCTTTTTGTGTAACCTGAACAATTGCGGTAAATGGAAGTTTTATTATTTTTCTTTTCTTTAATACCAACAATAACAACAGTTGAACTTTATCGATGAAGATTATTATCCTGAATATTCAATTGAAATAAAATATAAAACATTTGCCAAATGAAGTTATGAAAAGCAACAACCTATCAATCAGTCGTTTAGATTTAATGAAATGCATTATGAAAGTCTTGGAGATGCAAAACCTTTTAAACATCTCACTACCTCAAGTGTGTTGACAATTTGTATACAATGGTACTTTTCTTAATTTTCAAAATATTGTTATAAATCTTTGCTTGTGCCATCAATATATATAAACAGAATCACAGGTGTGAACTATTCTGCAGTTATGTCAGTTATATAGAAAATGTAACCGCTTGATGATGTGTAAGTGTTATAAAATGTTACCCAATCTGAAGATGTATTAAAATCGGACGTTGCAACTGGTTCTGGGACAAAATCAGAAGACTTTTCTACTTCAGATGAATCTTTCATATCTAAAAACAAAAGACATGTTTTCAATTCATTGAGTGAGGAAACCCTTATTAAATATGATGATTTAAATATAAGTATACACATATGCATTTGACTTTTCATCACTTATACAAGGGTAAACATGAAAAATAAAACAGAATTTATATTACACTCAGTTTACTGAACTTTGTAAAAAAGAATTAGTGGTTTTTCAAAAGGAGTTCAAAGGATGGGATTGTGACGACGATATTAAGAGTGAAAATAAACATGGTAAATGTTGACACATATATTCGATACCGGAAAACCTTATAATTGTGTCCGTGAAGTGTTCTTACCATTTGAAAGCCGTGGCTCAATGAAATAATGGCAAATATCTACTTAGAAAATCATAATTAAAAGTAAGTTCAGGTATAACGCATCGTGTATTCTTAACTTATAAGAAAAGGTAGGTTCAATCATATATGATTTATTGATTTTAAGCTGTACATAGCCTCTGGGTGACGTCCAACGTCGACATTGTGACAACTGCCAACCATATAAAAAAAACAAAAAAGGGACAATATTGGATGATGATCAATTTGCACTGAAACCAAAGCTCACAATACTGTAAAAAGACACCGAGGCACATTTTAAAATATAAATGGATAATGAATTGCATTTATTCGTTTATTTGTGAATCATTTGTTCTGATTTCAGTTGTTTTAGATTCATGCACATATTTCTTCGGAAAGTGTATGACAACATGCAAAACCTGCCTAATATTGTATTGACCAACATGAGACTGTCAACAGTGGCTGTGAAATAAATCCACGTCAAACAGTAACAAGTCAACATATATATGAAATACATTTAACCACAATTAATGTAATATATGTATGCAAATAATAAGGATCCAAAAATAAGATATGTGTGTGATAAACAGGTCGGGATCTCTAGATTTCCTGACGTCAGAATATATTTGCATAGTAATTTCCCAAATAGAAGGTAAACATGACCATGAAAAACTGACCAATCAACTCAATGAACTACAATGCATTGTGGGCTACCACGATGTTTACTACCACTTAAAAACACGCGGAGTTAATGGGAAAACTGTCAGCTAATATAGTGTCTGGGACTCTCATAATAAATGTGTTTGTACATTGCTGCTTCGAAAAAAAAACACCAAAGAACATGGCACTGACACACTGCTTAATTTCAAGCATGTTTCCGTTTATGGCGCTACAGGCTGCCCGGCAAAATGGATGTAACGACAGACACAGATTTATCTACACTAGATGTGTCAACTTTTTATCAGGACCTGATCTCAAAGTAAGTACATCATTTTCAGTATTCTCAAAAAATTGTGATGTAAAAAGCGAGGACGGTAAAAAGCTTAACATAGTATGTATACTTTTGTCCTTTGATGAAGTATGTCTGTTGCTAATTTAATCCCAAAATATACATAAGAGGTATTCTTATCGGTTGGCTGCTGTCCTATTGACTTATGTGGAATAGCTTCTATCATTTAAATCCTCCGGATCATATTGGGTGCCATGTTGCTCATTTAGGTTTGATAAAACGTGCATTGTATATAGAAATAATAACATGATGTGTGAGTGCCAACGAGGCATCTCTCCATCAAAGACACATTGTAGTAAATTAAGCAATCATAGGTTACATGAAGACCTTCAACGCTGAAAAGTAAGTTATAAGGGACCAAAAATGACTAGTGTTAAATTATTCAAACGAGAAAAAAAACAACGGCTTAGTATATAATCGAAACGAGAAGAGAAAGTATCCAATAAATGAGAGACGTATAACAGGTTTAGATCCAACGCTACAATTTTCACAAATCATATCAAAGTTCACGTCCTTGTCGCACATAAATATGGATGTCAACATGAATGATTTAATTAAGATTAGCAAATATCCGAGTCCGTTAAAAGTATCAACAATTCTAATATCTGCATTAGAAGAAAACGAACTTTGCATAGACGAAGACAAAACGACACTACAGCTGATTGCAATGATCGAGGAAAATATTGCTTCACTACCTTCAGAACAAAGGGAACAGATTGAAATAGAAAAAAGTCAAAAAAAAAAAAAAAAAAAAAAGCTTAAATATGCCAAACAATCATTACTAGATTTTGTTAACATTGTGAGGCAAGTGTTAAGACATGTCTTGATCAGTTTTGATGAAATATGATAGATGGTATAGGTTTTTGTACATGTTCTGTACCTGTCAAATTCTAAATATAAAAATATTACACATTATTCTATAGTAAATATCTCTTTTCAAGATAATGGAAAACAAATCTTTCTGAAAGGTATTTGTATAGAAAAATAAGGAGATGTGGTGTGATTGCCAATAAGACAACTATCCACCAAAGTTCAAATGAAATGGATGTAAGCAATTATAGGCAACCGTATGGTCTTCAACAATGAGAAAACCTAATACTGTATAGTCGGCGTTAAAAGGCCCCGATTGATGATTACACGTGTTTGTTTCTTAAAGATAAATTATTAAATACATGCCCTTCCTTGATCATGTCGATTTAAATGACTTTTTAATCATAAAAGAAGGTACAATATCATAACATCAATTTCATGAAAAACTGGGTAATTTTAGTGACCGCAACAGATATTTGACACTCTCTAACATGTCTAAGTCTTCCCCTTTTTTTACGAACCCAAAATTCAAGTATCCCTAATTTTTTAAACTATCGAAATGAAAGTTTGTCTTATGTGTAATTGTGTTTATCACTGTTGTTCCGTTGCTGTCTTGAGGACGACTATCTAAAATCATCGTGGAATCATCAATCAAATTAATGGCTATATTTCGGGTAATTCAAACACTCGTTTCCTCGCATTATTCTGAGCATGGAACAAATACTTTATATCACGGACTATAAATGTATAACTATACAAAAATTGAAAAACTAAGCGAAATTGTTAATTCCGCAATGCATGGAAAAATGTCATGTATTTCAGTAAATTACACGTGTTCCTGATTGATCGTAAACACGTAGCAAAATTGAGAATGGAAATCGGGAATATGTCAAAGAGACAACAACCCGGCCAAAGAGCAGATAACAGCCGAAGGCAACCAATGGGTCTTCAACGCAGCGAGGAAATCCCGCACCCGGAGGTGGTCCCTAGCTGGCCCCTAAATAAAATGTGTACAAGTTCAGTGAAAATGAACGTTATACTAAATTCCAAAACATATAAATGAACTAAAATAGTCCACCATGCATTGTTACTCATCTAATGGATTGGTCAAAACCCAGGTAAAAAAAATTGCTTCATGCGTAAATAAATGATTACATGTGCGAGGACATAAGTATGCTAATTTATACATATCCATATAAGGTAGTGTGCCAAACCTGATAAAACACGTTTAAAAATGAACTTTTTGATACTTTGTATGATTAATTAGTATCAGTGATAGACTATGATCAATTACACTCAGACAAAACCAAGAACATAATTTTGAACCGAATACGTGTGTGTGCAATTGTTACACAGTGGTCAAACATATGTTCAAGAAATATATGTCGCATGCTGTTATTAAAACTGAAATTACGATTTCCATAATTAGAACAACCAGAATCACTCAACTTTTTTTTCAAAAGACTGCAGATAAACATAGTGACGCAGATGACAAGAACGACATCGCTAGAAAACAGATTTACTCCAAATATGTGTTGCAGTAGACAAATATAAGACTAAACGGTGGACTTTTATCTGAAATTATAATACTTCTAACACAAATGGCTACAGTTGGGTACAGAACAAGCATAACATTTGAAAATTTCAGATGTAATTAAGCTAACATATTTTTTTCGGCTTTAGATTTTACTCCACTAAAAAATAAAATCTACTTACTGCGTACCTCATTGTTACTTGCAGGAATGTATTCTTCTTGACAACCCTTTTCAAATGAAAAACGATATGCCTAGTATGATCGAAGCCTATAAGTCGAGTGATTTTTTTTCAAGTTTGGTTTTCTTTCCAGTTCCTTGTGTTTATTTTTTTCAAGTTAGTGCTTCATGGTATGGAATTAAAGTTATACTTAGGAAACACTGTCTTAACTGATTGCTATAATTATAATTTGTTTTTCAGTCACATTATTTTTCATATCTATAAACGAATATGGATTGAAATGAAAATCGTGCTGGTACATATACAGGCTTAAAAAGAGATGGTGCTTTGGTGACTTGCTTCTTTAATTTGTCCCAATATTAATCTTTATCTAACAATGAGTTCTTTTAAATGACCAATTCCAATATTGACACAAGGTGTGCAGTTGCAATAGTCCTTAACCCAACCCACTTCTACCCGTTTCTGCAATTTAGCTGATTTCGTTTTATTTTTCATTAATGAAATGGTGTTCAATAAAGTTCAATAAAGTATTCCCCTTTTTGTAGCTGTGTAGAAAAATCCACTTGAAAAGTGGTTTGAAACTGAGACAACCATTGTTTTTCTCTGAAAAACACTAAACAATAAATTATTAAGTCATGTTCAGTCTTTAAGTCAATTTTCAAACGTTTCAACTGAAGGAAACTCAGTACTGTTTAAAAACAATGTTTATATTTAATTATGATATGTCCAGTATATAACCAGACTGTTCTGTAGATCTGATTTATCTACAACACACACATTCAAAAACTTCCTAATTTTCTGTAAAGCTACTAACCATTTCTTTGTTTATTGCAAGCAAAATGTACAAACAGTACTAAATTAGCAATAAGGATATTTGATCAAAATAACTTAAAATATTCTATAAAGGGTTATAAGGTTCTTATGCAAAGTAGACCTTAGATAAATTGGGCTTTTTTTATGTTAAACTGTCCACTAACTCTTCAGGTTTTAACGTTCCTGATGTAGGTTAATCCAGAAAAGCGCTTCGAATGCACGATATTTTTGCAGCGATAATTTTGTTAAACTGTTAACGAGACTTCACGGTTAAGCATGTTTAGGTTGAGACTTTTTTCAGAAAATGTTAAGATCAGTATGTCCATTTCAGACTAAATTTTATTTGACTGTGCAGCAGGACAAGTTGCCACATTGCAACATTCCTGCATATCTCTAAAAGATAGTTTTCCTTTCTTTTGTCGTTGTACCTCTTCGTACGCTAACCACTTATAAACTCTTTGAATTGACAACAAAACTAAAACAAATGAAGTAGAATATGACGTGAAATTACCACTAAAAACATCTATTAAAGTTAGCTAGACGTATTAAGATCTTTACATTGTTACAAAACACGTTAAACTCATAATTTTAAGTTATTGCAAATCATTCAGGAACTTCGTAATCCGCTGCAAATTTTACAGTTTTAAGACACTAAAGCATTATCATTGCGAGTGAAACCTTAAATTTTGATATACTTAAAGTAGTACTCTAAGTATCAATCATCTATTTCTAGTCGTCTTTGTAAACACTATTTGTCAGAAAAATTTCCATTTAATGTTGTAATATTGGAATGCGTTTTAAGTCTGAATATTTTTTCCTATCGATACAATAACCATGTGGAACTGATCATGTTTTATATCAATAAATACTAAGACTGTTATTATTTAACCATTGATCACGAAAAACAAAAATTATGTTAACTTCCGTATATGTTTTGGCGACACTATAGTCACTGCAATATGTCACAACTATCTTAACGAAAAAATCACGGATATGAAAAAAAAAGCCAAACAAATGCGGTCTATAGGGTTTGATGGTTGATATATCTCATTCAGCTCCGTTCAAGTAACACTTATAAATGCTAGCCGATTAGAAAATATTGTCATCGATATTTTAATTAAAGAAACTAAGTAAACAATGAATAAGCTACTATAAACTAAATACATCTGTACAATTAAACTGCTAGATATTTTTAGATCTTAACATTTTTAAACGGACGGTTCTAGTAATCAATTGCTAATTATTCAATTACATGCGTAAACAGCTGCAAAATGTACAGAATTAAGACTTGAGGCATTGTTATGGGATTCGAAGCGGAAATTTCTTTATAAAATGACATAATCAAAAGCTCAAACACATCAAACGAATGGAAAACAACTGTCATATTCTTGACTGGGTACAGACATTTTCTTACGTAGGACCACAAACAAAGTACAGTAATATAAGTTCACTTCTATGAACATGTAGGAACATGCCTGTGCCAAGTCAGGAAAATTGAAGTTGTTTTTCACTTGTTCCTTTGATTGATAGCGGTTGATTTTGTCAGTTTTTTTTATAGATTTCCCCTTTTCGAATTTGCCTTGGAGTTCTGTTTTTTTTTATTATACTTTTTTGAATCACTATTGTTACATTTTGTTAACATTGTCTATAGATTGTTACAAAACAATAGCATGTTATTTACTTTATGTTAACAACGGAAGCTATATCAGCAATGCGGCAATGTTTGCCTTCTGATCATTATCAAAGGAGGCTTGTTTGTAGAAAAATCTTTCAATATCACATATCTATAAAACTTCAGCACATAATACTTTAGAGAGTTTCCCAACCTAAATAAAGTATTGTCTCCTGTGGCCATTACTGTCAGTTGATTGGAACAAAATGAGATTCATTTGTTGAATAATGTTTGATTATCCATTAAATTACTGCAAAGTTTGGTAAATTTGAATAACTGTGTTTAAGAGACGAAAATGATCACTTTAATGTAAGAGACGACATAAACTATATGATCGGATCAAAACAAATATCATTCATTCATTTATTTGCTTGGTAAACACAGATTTATTTATTTTTATCCTTGGCACAACTGACATGATAGTTTTTTGAATCTCAGAATTTTTAATTTGAGATTGTTTATGTTGATTACAGCTAATTTAAAGCAATTTTTATCAATAGTTGACGTTTTCAATTTAGAAGTCTTAGGTTTAAATGAAAATGAACTGCCCTTTGCACGTATTTTATAAACACTTTCAGGCAATGTTGTATTCAGTTTGATTAATAAGAATTGTTATTCGGAATAAAATGTCTCAACATGTTCATAGGCTGTTCATGATAAAGTAAAGACGGTACTTTCTTAAGTGCAGGTTGACATAAACGGCAATCAAATATTAAGACGATGATAAAACAATAAGTTGATTCTTTCAAGATTAAGTAGTTTAGGTCGATGCCTACTTGTGTTGAAAACTGAAAAGGGAAGATATTGTTTTCTTACAGAGCTTTGCAAATTATACCACAATAAGGTATAACATTATGGATTTTTGTGGATGTCAACAAAATCTTCGTGATTTTAACCACAATTAGATATAGGAAGCATATAGAGCAGTGTTCGACAAAATAAATATAAGTATGAGAGTTTAATACATAACAAACATAACTCAATGAGTGTGTCATTTTATAAAGCATTTTTTTTTGTCGACGCATGCACATTTTGTTTGGTCCATAAAACATATTCAAATTCGATAATTTTGACGATATCAACAGAAAGCTGATACGTAAATTTTGAAACAAAAATATCTTTTTTCTTTCTAGTCATTGTTTAAGATATGAGACAATGTAAAAACGATCGTTAAATCTAATTTGAAAAGTAAGCTAGTGAAAGAGGCCTTATCAATTGATTGATTGATTGTTGGTTGCTTAATGTCCAGTGGCAAATATTTCATGCATATTCAGGACGAAAACAAATTAACAATAAATTCAATAGGTAGGTTCTATAATAGAGGCGTCTGGGATTGAGGTCGCAGAAATTTAGACTGCCACGGGAAATGAGGGTATATAGGATAGGGACAGAAATTTAGCCTTGCAACAAGTCACCTACGGACCCCTCAAAGAGTTGTTGCAAGGGTTCTTAACGTGCAAAGAGCGTGGCACTCTCTTTACACGAGGCACCGGATTTAACGTCCCCATTCTGACCGGACGTGGCTGTAAATTTGTACATCCCGCACAGCCAAACGGACCCCCCCCCCCCCCCCCCCCACTTTGACGAGGGTTTTACCGCCGGTCGGAGGAAGACCAATGGTGACCATATTTCTATTCCCAGTCACCCTTGGGGGGAGGCTTTATCGAACATACTCTTTTGTTTTACAATAATATGAATAGATCGATTTGTACTTTTTTCAGATAATGTATATATCATCGTTAACGGTTACTTCATATACACTTTGATTCTAAATGTACTACCTTTTGGTCTTTCTCTTCCTGAACGTCCTCGCCGTTCTCAACTACCATAGAATAACGTGGTGGTCTCTCAGTGTTCAATTCTTTAATTAAGAAAACAATGTAAAGGTCAATAAAGAAATGTTTGTGTTCGAGTTTTTCATGTTTTTTTTTCGTATATATTTTAACGCTCTTCTGACCAGGATAAGGTAACAAATGTACACTCTTAAGTGCAGGTTTGGATAAACGCCTAGCCAATAATAAGACTGGCGACAAACTAGCGATAAAGTAGCACAATCTGTATTCATGTTATTTCTCTTCATAAAGATAATGAAATGTAAAAAATTTTGAAAATTAATTAAAACCATTAGTAAGAAATCATTTGGTTGTTTAATTAGAGTCATATCAAACGAGTTTCTTGTAGTAATAAAGTAATGGAAAATATTGAACCATGCATACGTATAAACTGAGATCTGCGCACTTTTTTTACAGACTAATAATGCATAACCGGGGTCATTCAAGCTATATACAAAACCACATTTCATTATTTTTATATTTACTAAGAGTAATTTAATATCAGACAAAATGACAACAAACACAAAACAATTATCCAACAATTACTGGCAAATTTCTGTCTTATTAAAGACGTCTTCAATGAAAGGCCGCCGTTAAATTCTGTTTTCTATATTTTTGAAAAACATTTCATTAAGGACGAAAAAAATCATCAAGCATTTCAAAGCATCATTTACACATGAATCAAGGTGACTCCTTGACAACAATTGAAAGCAGGTCAAAGTAAATAAAGATTTTGAAAATATTTAAATAAACTTGTCGTCATGCATGAAATAAACAAAGACATCTACAGACCTTTTACACAAAAAAGGCAATATCATTATTCTTCCCCTCCCCCTCTATTGTATACATCGATGGGGGTGTGTCAATGACTATCACTGATTATTCTTTAATTCATTGTAAAAGACGGCGAAAGATACTGAGTATTAAGGTACATTCAAACTCATAATTCGAAAATAAACTGACAACGCCATGTCTGTGGTTCTGATAAACGAAATGTTATGAATTGTTGCGTCCATCATTTGTAAGCCTTTTACTTCATGTACTTTGTGGTATTCAATGCTTCCACAAAGTAGCACAGAAAATTATATACAGTTTTATTACGCATTAATCTTTTTCTCGTATAACCTTTTATAATTAGTCCTTAAATTGGATCAAAAGTTCGAGAAACTTTTACGTAACACATGCGATATATCGACTGCAAAGAGTTTGTGACGAAATAGTCTATCTATCTTTTGCAACTTCAGGACCCAAATAATGGCTCTTACCGTGGTTCCTCTTTTTGCACAACAGCATATTATAAGTTACACAGTGTGTTAGTGACCTAATACGATATATATGTACTGCCCCCATAGTAACGAAATTATTAGACGACTATATGATCAAACACATCTAGTAATTACTTTTTGCCAAACTAAGCCGATGCAATACAAACTGAGTATAATTCGGACTTGTCTGTAAAGTTTAAAAATGCATCTCTGTCCAGTTTACGAAGGACTTTTATACAGTTTGTGAATATATCGACAATGCGGACCTCTAAATATGCGCACACATGGATGTCACACAAGGAATAATCCTTTTAAGTTCGGCAGGCTTAGTAGGGAAAAAAGTAGTATTACATTTTCTCAGCTTTAGTTTGGCATATCGTGTACCTACATGTAGGGCAGGTCAAGGGAGTCAACTCAGGAGCGCTGTGATTGGATGTAAGGGTATAATATATTTAACAAATAAATTTTGATACATATTGAAATTATTTTCGAGAGAATTATCTGAAAAGACTTCAAATTTTACATAAATTTGATGTAAAATGACAGTGGTTATAGATAACATAAAAAAGCTCCGTTCGGTGATGGTCATTATACCATTTGACTTCATATTCCAAAACAAAAAAACAAAGTACTGATATCACACATAACTGTTTTGTCCAGGTTTTTATCATAAAAAGTGGTAAATTTAGAAAATGTAATTATTGTCGCCTATGGAAGAATAAATACTACCGTTTTCTCTAGTAATCTATGTATTGTGCTGACAACGAGGGTAAATATCTCTAACATGTATTTAAATATAAAAAAGAAATTTAGAGAAGATATATACAACAAGTAAGATGGCGATTATGAGTCTGTGTCACTTCCAAAGATAAAAAGTAAACCCTGTATCAATAGATAGAACATGAAACTTATTCCTTCCTTTTTTTGAAGTTTTTACAATTAAGGTCAAAAACATATAACTTTATCACGTTTTTCTACATTCCTTTGTTAAATGTGACAATTCATGTTTGTTTTGTGTCAACATTAAACATCTGTTTAAATGACACTTTATCATTTGACTTATTGATCTTGTTTTAAATCACTATCATCTAAATAGAAAATATTCATCTTCTGCAAAGGATATCATGATAATATAGTGTTATTTTGCTTTGAAGAGTGCCTCTATATATATCGTGTTGCGAAATTTAATGTCAAGGTCGATCCATAAAAGGAATATATTAAGAAGTCCATAAGATCATAAGGAATTAAAAAAAAAAAAACAAGTTGCACCATAATTATCAAAATCGTCATAATAATTTCAGAAGGTATATACAAAAATAATTGTTTCTAAAACCATATAGACTAGTATATTTTTTGAAAAGTATATTTTAGATAAATAAACATAATTCAATCATTTAAGGTGTGACATCTCTCATTGACATAGAGAAATATATATATATATATATATATATATATATATATATATATATATATATATATAAGTCTTGGTTGATAAGAGATTAAAATAAAAGAAAAATGTTTCCGAGGACACGAATGCCCCCTTTCAATTAGCAATGTTAAACAGTCAAAACAGTGAATTTGTAAATTACGGGATTAATCATACATCATACATCATAGTATTTGAGATATAATCAAAGCAAGTGAAACAAGAAAATATGGTCAAGGTAGCCTACATTTGCCTGGTTGGTTATCTTTCAATTGAAAAGCAGTTCCAATACGAAGCTTTTCTTTACATACTATTTATCTGTTTGCTCTACTATTTTTGTGGAAAGAAATCACTTTCTATATATAGCACCTGTTTTTTGTTTTGTTTGTTTGTTGTTTTTTTTTTTTATCTATCCACATTGAAGAACTTCATACCTTATTAAATAATATTAAACAACATTGACTTTTCATTTGATTTTGATTTAAAGAGTAGAGAAGATATACAATTTTGTTATCCCTTTATGATAGCATGGATGTACATCCTAGTATTTGAGATATAATCAGAGCTAGTGAAGCATGACAAAAATGGTCAAGTGGCCTACTTTTGCCTGGTTGTTTATCAACAATTGAAAAGTAGGTCCAATACGAAGCAATTTTTGCATACTATTCATCTGTTTGCTTTACTATTTTTTGTGGAAAGAAATTACTTTCTTTATGTAGCATATTAATAGAACAACATTTATTTGATTTTCAGATTTTCGTTGACTGATTATGAAAAATATATACAAAGGAAATATTTGACTCGTTTCCACATTTTTAATAAAATAACGTGCCCGTGTAGGCTGACATGCTTTCCTGTGGAATTTTCCATGTTAACAAGCATTTTAATATTCCAGCTCAGCGTGTCGGTCTAACACAAACATGGTTTATATTCACATAACATAACTATATTCTCGTCCCGATAAGCCCTTAATACTTGCCACTGGAATGTAATCATTTAATATTCTGACCTTATATTTTATTTCAAAATGAAACTGTCATATCGTGCAAACTTCAGTATGAAAGTCACAAAGTACAATGAATAAAACCAAACTATTACTATCCACGCTGATCTGTGTCCAACCTTGTGTATTCAAAAAATATATTTAAGAATATCTATCTTGTGATTACTTACCTTTCACTCTATCGGAATTATCACATACTTCCGAACTGACGCTTTGTGACTACAAGTGAATTATGAATCATAAAATTATTACGATACTTTCTATAATAATATTCAAATTTTTACAAGAATAATTCTAGAATTCAAGTCCACCTTGGTACCTTTTAAGGTCCCCTGAATCGTTGCAAATGTGTGTTCAAGTACACTTTCCGATTTTTTACTACCGCCCTACATGTAAAGGCAATATTATACAGTTGCTGGATGAGCCACAGTAATTAAAATCTTAATATGTAGGTACTAGTTTGTAAATACATAATATTATTTTCTTGTGTTTTTAGTAAACCCTTGCTGCTTTTTCATTCGTACTTAGGTACATGAATGCAGTCTTTAGTTCTAATTAAAGTTAAAGTCATATGAAACTTCAAATGAAATGAATCAAATATTATTTGTCGATGATACGTTATAGATTCGTTATAAATACATGTATACAACTTGCATACAGTACTAAGCTTAGTTCATACCCATGCATTGATTCAATAATTTCGATCTCATTAAATTACAAAAAAACTCGTTTCATATGACTTTAATAATATTAAATATATTTTCACATTTGTTTAAAACTTACAGTATTTGAACTTATAACCAATTTTTTAACATTTCTGAGACTCAAGTAGAATAGTTTTCTCAAAAATGATTGAATCGATATTCATATCAGTTACTTTCAATTTTAATAAAATATATCAAATATACCCTTTTTCAATAAGATAATTCTACAATAAATCTTTTCTGGCGATTTTGTAGTTTATAGACGTAATCATATGATCAAGTATTTACCTAGCATTTTCTGTTTTTTTACATTTGCAGAACAATATCTATTGGCTGTTTACATAACATATATATCTACCGATTTCTGCTGATAATCTGTTTCTTTATTTGACCTTTTGTTTACACTATTGTCAGGTAACTTAGCAGACTTTGGTGGCAGTCTTTCCAAATCTGTTTCTGAAATAGATATATTAAAACAATTGTAGTTGCATTTAGTTAAACAAACACCGAATAATGTTTGGTAATTCATAAAGCTGATTTTATTCTCTTGGGGAAACTTTCTACAGAGAAAATAAGAAATATTGTTTGAACCAGATTTTAGACAATAAAATATTGAACATATAATTTCGCGTACATCTTCATTATTTGTAGAATACTAATGTTTTAAGCATTGACTATGTGAAATAGTAGCCAATTGCACTGTTGTACATGTACCAGTATTCCTCTTATAAAGCTCGTTTAGGACCCATAATACTACTACTCGCTTAAATATACATATAAATACATAAATACATTTTCTACATGAGTGTATATAATGAATTTATAAAAGGTTATTGTTGGTTGTTTTGACCTCGAGGCAGCAACCAAACAAAACAAACAACCAAAAGCAATCGTGTGTTCAACAATCAATCTTCGACATTAGATAAAGGTCTATACAGTGTGTTGATCTCTAAATTACCCCGAGACTTAATGACGTCGATCACAGTTTTATTACAACATTATGTTTTGTTTGATCAATGCCTAATGAGAATTTGTACAGTTTAAAATTTCTTGAAATTTTTTTCCAAAATTTTACTTGATCGTAATAGATACATGATACAGCCCTTGGATGGTGTAAACTTCCCAAAAAAACGTGTATGGTGTAATGGTGTATGCCATATGGTACAATGGTAGAAGGTGTATGGTGCTATGGTGTATGCTGTAAGGGGAATGGTGTAATGGTGTTGTAACGTGCGATCGGGAATGGTGTGTATGAATGGTGTACGACATTTAAAACTATGCAAAATATTGATAATAACTGATTTTTAATTTTATACATTAATTTACAATATTGTGATCAAAATTCGTTTTTTAAAATAAATAAATAATTTTGTAGTCGCACGCTTTCTTTGAAATTAAATTGCATTATGGTGTAATGTTTAAGGTGTAAAGTGCAAAGGTGAAACGTGTATGGTGTAATGGCACAGGGTGTATGGTGTAATGGTGTATGGTGAATGGTGTAATGGTGTATGGTGTTAGTGGGAAGTTTACACCATCCAAGAACTGTATATGTATACAAACAAAAAGTATTGTTTGATTGACAATGTGACAACTCTCCACCAGAGTACACCTGACGTTGAAATTAGCCACTTAAGGTTACCGTACGTCCTTCAACAATAATCAAAACCCATATTGCATACTGCAGCAAGCTATAAAAGGCCCCGGTAAAGTAAATTCTCGTTTAAAATAATAATAAAAAAAAACACCAATCGCATGTTCATGTCACACGTCTATCCAAATTCAGGAACGTCGTCAGTGATTTTGTAGTATTCATGTCATATTTTGGTTTGTTTATCTTTTATTTTTTTTTATTGTTTTTCAGAGATCTGGCTAAATGGGTTAAATGATTCTGGACTCTTGGCAATTTTTAGATTGACATATTTTACAAACTTCTGTATATTGTTGAATACTATATTTACCCTCTATAGATGTCTCTTGTTTTATGTTTTATGGTTTATTTTACTTTGTTTACGTCTTTTTTGTCGTTGGGTTGCTGTCTTTTTGACGTATACATCACAAGTAATCGCATAATAATAGGTTCATATTATACATTTACCTTCCCATGGCAATCCTTCTTCTATATTAACATTTCTATGATCTATAACCACCGATCTGTGCTGTAAAATGAAAACAAATAAACAACCATTAAATAGCTTAAGTCAAAGTGAAGATCTAGTCGAAAAATGCCTCTCGTAAACATTTCTATTGTTGATTAATTGTTATTGTTGAAGGTTCAGTGGAACTACTTAATGCACATTCAGTTAGATTCTAAATTTGACGCACCATTCATAAAGTATATGCGAATTACACATCTCCACTACTTGCATGTACGTAGGGTGAATTGATTGATTGACTAATTCGTGTTAAACGCCACTTTCAGCACTATTTTGATAGATCGTGGCGGTCAATTTTTATTAGTGGAGGAAGCCAAGGTGCCCGGACAGAACCTCAGACTTGCGGTAGGAAAATTAACATTCCTAATCAATTAAAATTGGAGTCGAACGCACTTGCCACGTGCGGGATTCAAACTCACAACCTCCGTGTTGACAGGCTAGTGATACAGTAGTTGAATTATTTAGACCACTTGACCACCGACGCCGTTCTTACTTGATAAGAAATGCTTCTGCTGTTTTCTAAAAAAAATAATTAAGAAATCTACCCTGAATTTTTTAGAAAACTAAAATGTTTTCCTTTTCTTCAACATCTAACATCTTATGATTTCACTCATTGATTTTTGTTCGTGTAAATACTTGATTTTTTTGCTTTGAGGGAACTGACCTCGTATTGTAATGATGATGTGCTTACAAATTGTGTAAATACAAATAAGTACCGTATATCGCGTTTAACCTCAGTACTTCATTTGTATGCGGTATCATATTACAATAAATCACTATTCACTTGCATCTTTCGTATATTTCAAATTTGAATTATCTACTTGTATGAAGTGCAGTAAGAAAGTATAATGGTATAATGCATGTGACCCTCAATTAGGAAATATGGGCCCTTTGGTCTTGTTCTGATCGTTCGACAGTAAAACCCTTGTCAGAGTATAGTGTTCGTTTGGAATTGTATGTGACTGTCATACAAGTGAGAGTGAGAATAGAAAAGGAAATAACATTTCATCTCAGTACATTAGTTTATAATAAGATTATTTAAACAAAGATAATAGAATCAGACAAAAGTGTTGCCAACTTAAAAAGACTAATATATGCAGAATGATAATAACAATATTATAATAATAAATAATCGAGTACATAAAAAAAAATTAAAGCTAACTTATGTGATGACATTTTTTAAAGAAAAAAAGTTGAAACAACGACCTTTGATTTCTTGTGAGTTGTTTTCTATTCTTATTATATATAAATGAATCGTGTGATTCTTGAAAAAATAAATTGTTTCACAAGGGAAGAGAAAATAGTTTGTATTTATGAAAATTGGTGAATAAAAACAACAAAAATTTGGTTTTTAAATGATACTTAAAAAATATTTACTGTTGGGTCAAATTTGATTAAAAAAAAGTACTGTCTGGAATCAATAGTTAAAGGCTTGTCCCCAAATACACTAATGGACGGTGCATCATACGTAATACCGTCCTATCCATACTAGTATGGCTCATCGACTGTTATCCTATATTTCAATTTATTGATAAGAAACGTAAATTTCATGCATACTTGTACAATCAATATTCAGAGAATAGCCCTTCAAAGTTAAAGTAAACAATCATTGTTCTGTATCACCACAACAAGTGTTACTTAAGAAAGAGACCAGCAAAGTATTACAAATGTCACCGTACACCGACAAAATACCTTATATAAAATTAAGAGATGTGGTATTATTTTCATGAGACAACTAGCCACAGAGACTAAATGACGCAGATGTTAGTAACTATGGGTCATCGTACGGTCTTTAGAAATGAAAAGAAAATCATACAACACAGCAAGCTGAAAAGGCTACTGACTCGGGACAGGCACATAGACAATGCGGTTGGGTTAAACTTGTTAGCCGACGCCTTACCCTCCCCTAACCATTCACAATGGTGTAACAGCATAACATATGAAATCACTATAAAATTCAGTGGGATTGACTTATCAGATCATTATTATAAACGGCATCAAAACGACTATCAAGTCCACTTAAGACAATAACTACAGATCTAAGAATACTTGCAGTAAATGAAAGCTAGTTCCAAGTCAATTACAACTATATGATACAAAAAACCTGAACCAAAACAAAATATCAATCAAAGTAAACATACAACGGATTTAGTGTAAAGATGTCTTAAACAGTCTAAAACTTTGTGACTATCTAACTGGTATTGTAATATATGTTTATAATATGAATTAAAAGAAACGAAGGGTTGAAAGGTCCATAAAAAGCAACGGAACGAAACAAATTAACAAAGAAGTTTAGAGGTTAACATATTGATGATTAAATACAGATGATAAGCTTGATCACCTCGAGCTGCAGAACGTTGTCTACATCACATTTAAGAAGGAATTTATCAGATCATCATCAACATTAAGTTTGTCAACTAATAAATATACAATTCATATGTTTGTTTTAAATATACGTATTCTTACCTCTTGTATTTCACCAGTTTCGAACGCTTGGTTATTTTCACTTGAACCATATTTATTGCTTCTTTCCTCGTCGGAACAACAGTTTTTCATTAACACAATTACATTCAGTGTCACATCGGTACATAACACAGCCGTAGCCGCGATAGTAAATGCGGTTAATTCCCAATCTGATAAAATGAAACTATAAAGCAACACCGCAATGTCGAAAATAACATCCAGACATTTATATACCATCATAAACTTTTGATATTTTGAGACTTTATATTCAGCTTTAGGATCGTCCACATTACTTGAAAACCTTGAAATTCTGTATACTAGAGAAAAAGTTATAAACGCATAAAAGCATACTGCAAAAATTACGATTGCACAAAATAACAGGAACCCGCCGTCTCCTTCGTCCTTAGTTTTCCTATTGACAAAACAAACAATTAGAAATAATGCTATGTTGATCAAATATCCAATTCCTAGCCGAAGTAGTAAGATCCTTATTTTCTTAATTATTATTTTTGTTTCGTTTTGATGTTTTGTTCCTACATAATTTGCAAAACTGTCATAATGACCGAGCATGAACGAACATAACAAATCTATATAAAATACACAAATACACCTGCAACACATATTTACTATCAAATAGAACAGATCTCAAATCAAATACCATACATGTATAACACAACACGTTTTTAAATATCGTCGAAAGTTAAAAGCATACAGTAATCCTGATAACAATTGATAAAGTTAAACACTGTTTTTTTAAGGAAATTCCAAATCTGACTCCGCGAATACTTTTATATAATATCAATTGACGTACATGGTAACTTCGGACCACATCAGGAATTGCAGTAAATAAACATCGCCATTGTTGTATTTTAATTGACTCCACGGTCGTGTCAGTCCTTTAATATGCAATGAAGTACAAAATATAAATTGAAAACGTACAGTTAACGTAAGAAATTATTCCATTTAAATGATCACAACCACGAAACGATTCACTATAAATTTCACCTGTTGAGATATTTTGTAAATATTAATAGTGTGTCCCAGTTAAATGCACAAGTGATATTAACAAATACCGTTTTTTCTTGGTAATATGAGGACTTTGGTTCATCCTTTTAAAGATAACAACGTATTTACTATTTAAATGTTTATACACTCGGAATCCTCGCTGTTATAGATACACATAATATTATTTGACATTAAAAGCTGTCGGACATTGTTTAGAAAATGTGTTTTTCAGAAGATTTTTTGGATATTTCGTGTGCTATTCTTCTTGCGTTATATGAAATCCTAAAGTCTCCAAAGGATAAAATAGAAGAGAAAAAGTTGAAAGTTCTAATGGTCCGCACTGCAATGGGATTATTGATCAACGTTTGTGGATTTCTTGTAGTATGTGGAATAAACCGAACTGGCTATAGAGAAAGTGGATTATCAGTTACGATGTTCAGTATAATTTTAGTGTATAATGTCTTTTTCTACGGTGTAATGACATTTGCTTTAATGAAAGGATTTTCCTCCATAAACACAAGAGAAGATTGGTCTGGATATTTTAAACGCTTTGTTACTGTTTACCGGATAATGGACATAATTTTCGACATACTGCTGTTTATATACAACCTGTTTGCAGACCGTTGGAGATTTCAACTAACAACAAATTTGATGATACCCGTTATTGTCATTGATATGGTCTTAAATTGTATTTCTTTCGGAATTTTTATGAGGAAAACTAGCAACCCAAATCATAATGAGTGACACTGTTTTTAAGACATACTCACAATCATTTTTTTAACAAAACATCACTGTACATGTACAGATGCGGAACAAGGATTTCGAAACATTGCAGGAAAACTAGGCAAAGTTATAAGTAGAATACGTAAAAAGTCTGTGCATTAACCATATATGTAGCTCCATAAGTGGCAGCCTGAGCCCACTGTTCCCTCGCCTTGAAATCCACATATGATGTATACTTTTTGATGGAATAATTATCGAACAAACAAAAATGACTATTATTATTATCATTATTTTTATTGTAAAGATGAATTGTATTAAAGATATGCTATCAACTATTTTCTCAAAACGTTATTACTCAATTTTTTTTATGTAAATATTTATAAAAATAACAACATTATTTTTATAATTATCATGGTGATGATTATCTTTATTACTACTAGTGAGTATTAACGACCTTGAATTTCAATGAAGGTATTATAATTATTATTATTATTATTATTATTAAATTTAAGTTATTGTTATTATTATGATTGCTAATAGGATTTTTTATGTTAGTATATTATCATTATCATTTTAGGGGGAGGTGATTGTCAGATTTTTTTTTTAATTTACAAACTTCCAATTTCTTTGATGTTAAGAATATGTAAAAATATCTGATAAATTCATGAGAAATATATTGTTTTTTATTTTATGTACATACAAGTGAATAATCATTGATTACTTGTTTCCTTAATTGATCTGTTAAAATATAGTATTCACTTATATTGTGTAATTAAAAGCAGTAAATACAATTTGTATTGTTCAAATCCTGTTGTTTAAATATATAAATTGTTTCAAGTTTGCAGTAGTGAATTGACAGTATATAAACTGAACATGTCACCCGTCACATTCTATATTATGTACCTGTCCCAAGCCAGGAATCTATAATTCAACGGTTGTTTTTAGTTGCTGTATATCACATGTGTTTTTCGATTATTGTTTTGTACATAAATAAGGCTTTTAGTTTTTTTTTTGTTTGAACTGTTTTATTTTTGTCATTTCGGAGAATTATATAGCTTGCTTTCCGGTATGGGTGTTGCTCATTGTTGACGGCCGTATGGTGACCTGTAGTTGTTTACCTTATATGTCATTTTGTCTCTTGTGTAAGTTGTCTCATTAGCAATCAGATCACATCTTTTTATTTGTACTATACTAGTATATAAAATATTGTATGTGTTAAACAAAATGGGTCGGAAAATATCCTGTTTTTTCATAAGAGTAAGACCATGTTCACACTAGCTTTTTGTAATCGATCTAGATAAAACCAGTTAGCGTTCACATTATTTTCAATCCTAACGATCTCTAATCTGAACCACTGCGTTCACACTACAAGTAAAATGCAATTGATCTGATTTAATAACCCGGGAAATTGTAAACACTGTGTATAGATAGAAATAGTCAATCAAATTAATGTGTAAGTGTACACGCTTGACAAAAAAAAAACGAATGCAGTAATTGTTTCACTTGAATAACAAGTTCTACTGTGATACAGCTGTTCGTATAGTTTTCTTTAATTTTCAGTCCTTTTATGTTGGTTATCCAGTTTGTAATAAATTGAAGGTGTATTTTTTTCCGCCATACATGCCCACAAATTTAATGTTTTAGTTTAGACCGATACAAGATCGATTCAAAGCTTTCACATTGAGCTTAATTAGATCTAAAGTGAATCGATCAAGTTTAATCGATCTAAATGTCCTAGTGTGAACGGAGTCTAATATAGGCAAATAATATGAACACACAGAACCCAGATCCAATCCATTTTTTGCTTAAATATTTCATTTTTCACTGTTTTATATCTTCTAAAAACATTCCATTTTCTATATTTTTATGTTTCCTCCCCGAGGGTATCACCAGCCTAGTAGTCAGCACGTCTGTGTTTAAATGAATTATCACTGTTGTGGTCATAATTATGAATTAACTGTTTTTTAATTTTTCGAAAGACTAAGAGTTTTCCACCCAAGGAATAGAATATGATAGCTGTATTTTGCAAAACCATTAGGAGCTGTTGGTACTCAATGCCCTCCAAATTCGTACCTTTTTTTAACTTTTAAATTTTTTTTATTCCAATGTCATTGGTGGGTCTTTTGTAAACGAAACGTGCGTCTGGCGTTCAGAGTTTCAATCCTGGTATATGGAAAATATTGACACTTTTTTTATGAGACAACAAATTTGCAATTTTAAACTTAAATTTCTTCACTTTTATATGTAACAATCCATACTGAGGTATAATTATTATGATTTGTGGCATTTGATGATAATGCAAAAGATAAAAATTAACAAATAACATATTTTTCTCTTTTGTTCATGTTGTTGGAACACAAAGAGTGGAGATCCTTAAAAATTAAAAAAAGGAGTATGCAAATAAAATTGGGTTCAAAATATTGAATATAGATAGTGATTACTATAGCAAATTTTGGGAGGGCCTGGCGGCCCTTCTGCTTTTTCTTGGCTCCCTGCTGTTTTTGCCCCTTTTTATCGTATTTTATAACGTCCTGGTGTAATGCATGATCGGTTCTTCGATTCGTCTTTTAAAAAGTCAATTTCAAGTGATGTCCCTGTCGACAGAATAACAATTTTAATGGCCGACATTTTATCGAGTTATGTTTAAACATTTTTAACGCGACAAAGTACAACTACGATTGATGATTGTATCTAATAGACAACAGTAACTGTGTACCTCTACGAATTTAAAAATGTAGAGAATAAAAAGGGGAACCAGGAAATAGCTCGAATTATAATGTTACGGTGCATGGAATGAACCTTACGTAATCATTCATCTGTTTGTTAATATTTTCAGTATGACCACTTTAATTATTCGTTTGGTCGAAACAAGACTTCGGATTAGGTTTGAATTTTACATCTAGCATTCTTTATATTATTATATAAATTAGAATAAAGTTGGCAGAATAGTTGACATAAAAAAGTATAACAAAAATACTGAATTCCATGCAAATTCAAAAAGGTGAAGTCCATAAAAAGTGACAAAATCAAACGCTATCGATCAACGGAACAAGTAAAAACAACTGCCATATTTCTGACTTGGTACAGGCATTTTCCGAACGAAATGGTGGATTAAATCTAGTTTGATAGCTAGCTAAACCTCCTACTTGTATGACGGCTGTTTATAGTTCCATTGTATTGACAAAAGTTGATAAGCAACCCAAACAGATACAATGGGTTAATGTAACGATAATTGGGATTCAGCAGTCATAATGTCTGAACAAACATCACAGTCATGTAACACAACTCACTATAAAGTTCTATCAAACAAGCATCAAAATTAATCTAACAATGACGCCAACAAAAAAGATGTAGTCAATAGTAATAACTCATCATAGATACCAAGACACTAAACAGCAATGCATATGTTCTTTGCCTAGCAAGTATTGACACTATCACAACAGATCCTTAGACACTTAGAGATCCAGTAACAGAGTTATTGTTTGAAATATCAATACGACGATTCTATGAGCTAAGTCTTAAAGTAATGCTTCTATTACAAACAGGAATTAAATTTAATTAAATTCATGTCATATAAAGACGCTGAAATATAGCAGATGAGGGCTAGTCATGTGTCTATCAAGTCATTGCTTTAACTTTGATCGAATGTGATAAAATTATTTAAATACTTATTTAGATTCAAATTTAGAAATATGGCTATTTTAAGGCTTGATTTGTTGTTTTAAATTGTGCTAACACATATTTGTTTTATTCTGCATATGATTCATCTTAATAGATTTACAGCAGCATGTATATTGCATAGAGATTCTAGCAACTTTATAAATTTAAAACTGTTACCTCATGGAACTCAATAGTCCTGACTACATGTACCACAGAAGAGCAAACGCACGTTTTGATTTTTCAAATTTGAATTTCATGTTTATGGGAAGGATAATTCAAAAATATTGCAACTACAAATTAGATGCATCAAGACATTAAAAAAGCTGAAGTAAAGTAATGCAAAGTACTAAAATATTCCAAATACAAAATATCATTTTTTTATGAATGCAAGGTGGACAGAGACAACTGTCCATCCCTCTCTTAAAAATGACCAGTTAAATATGAATAAAGGCCCTATATTGATATATATAGAATTGTGTTATTGTTTCACGTTTAAACCTGTTTTTGTTTGTGTAAATATCACAGCTAATAGAAGATAGTTTGACAAATCTCATTCTTTTTACAGTTTTGAAATACGTCCATTTCCATGTACCTGTATCAAAATTGAAACACTTTCCATTTACATCATATTTTTGCCTAATGTGAGACATAATGATATCCTACAAACATAGTTTAGTTAAAAATTTTAACACTACCCTTTGATACTACTTGGATTTTCTCTGAATCAGATTTGAGGTTTTAGATTGTAATAAAAAGAATAATAATTCAG